CCCCATGCTGTGTCTATGTGTGCACAGTCCCCATGTTGTGCCTATATACGTGTGTACAGTCCCCATGTTGTGTCTATATATGTGTGTACAGTCCCCATGTTGTGTCTATGTGTGTACAGTCCCCATATTGTGTCTATGTGTACAGTCCCCATGTTGTGTCTATATACGTGTGTACAGTCCCCATGTTGTGTCTATGTGTGTACAGTCCCCATGTTGTGTCTATATACGTGTGTACAGTCCCCATGTTATGTCTATGTGTGTACAGTCCCCATGTTGTGTCTATGTGTGTACAGTCCATGTCGTTTCTATGTGTGTACAGTCCCCATGTTGTGTCTATGTGTGTGTACAGTCCCCATGTTGTGTCTATGTGTGTGTACAGTCCCCATGTTGTGTCTATGTTTATACAGTCCCCATGTTGTGTCTATGTGTGTCTACAGTCCCCATGTTGTGTCTATGTGTGTGTGTACAGAGTGTTTGAGAAGAATTCCCCATGTTGTCTACGTAAAACACAGAGTGTTTGAGAAGAATTCCCCATGTTGTCTGTGTAAAATACAGAGTGTTTGAGAAGAATTCCCCATGTTGTCTGTGTATAACACAGAGTGTTTGAGAAGAATTCCCCATGTTGTCTATGTAAAATACAGAGTGTTTGAGAAGAATTCCCCATGTTGTCTATGTACAGAGTGTTCGACAAGAACGGCGACGGTTACATTAACCGCGAGGAGCTGAAGCGGACCATGCAGATCCTGGGGGAACATCTGACAGACGATGATGTCAGCGCCATGATGGATGAGGCAGACTCAGACGGGAATGGCGTGGTGGATTACCGGGAGTTTGCACGCATCATGAGCGCCAGGAAATAGCAGTCGTGTTGTTTGTTATTATGCTTCTTACTCTTATGTCGTCATTATCTGCAGTGGGGATCTAGATGCCACTCACCATCTTCGAAGAAATGCACAAGTATTATGGTTGGATTTCAATAGAAAGACTAGATTGAGTGCATTGGCAAAGGAATAAACAAGACAAAATGTGAATATTAAAGTAGCCATAAAATATGCACCCTGTAGATTTATTTATTAGTATTAATTATGACCACAGCGATTCCTTTTTAATGGAAAAACCCAGTGCTTCAAAAACAACAACATATCAAAAGTTTTAAATTATATATTCTATAATGAGTTGAAAAAAAATACATGTAAGTATTTCTCGAATTTTCCTTGGGCTTCATCCCTTTATCCGTTTGAGCCACAATTAAGACAGTAAGGCCCAACATGTACACGGACAAAGAAGAGCTGTGCTACTCTTGAACACAAATTGGTTTGAGATGACGCGAGTCAAGACATGCCCCAGACCAACAAATACATACATATGTGCAAGTTATAGCTCTAAATGTTATAACTGGTCACTTTTAAGCACAAGCGGGCTATCCAGAAAAAAGCTATTTTGAGAAAATCGAAGGTAAAGTTTTTGGACCCTAGTTCAGTTTCTTTAAAAGACAAGGAGAATTTTCTCTATAACCAAACAAATATACACACCAATGAAACCAAACTTTTCATAAAGGTAGGGCGAAGCCCACTTTTGGTGTAGGTCATATTAAAAATTTCTGGAAAACCCCGAAATCTGGGGTAGCCCGCTTGTCCTTAAAAGCGACTAATTATCCCCAACGTATTGGCATTACATTTACCCTCCTTGCGTTTGTTTTAGATTGTGAACATAGCTCTTGCATCACTATATTTTCATACTTTTCATAATAAAACCATTCCCTGAATGTCCACAAACGATTCTTTGTGTTGATGGGGACACGGACAGTTATAGTATAGTTCTCTCTCTCTCTCTCTCTCTCTCTCTCTCTCTCTCTCTCTCTCTCTCTCTCTCTCTCTCTATCTCTTTTCTCTCTTTCTTATAAGCTATCATATTATTGTTCAAAAGTTCAATGCTAATAAAAGTTGCCAT